AATGCACACCCCGATTCCTAAAACGCAGTGTCATAGCTTTTCCTCACTGATTTCTTCTTCTTTCTTGGTATCTTCAAGATTTTTCTCCAAGAACGGGGGTAGGGAGGATCTTAGACCTGATATCCCAAGAGCTGTTAAAAGCATGCAGCGAAGAAGAAACTATCTTTTCGCCGCTGATGCAGTTCGTCTCGTATGAAGTACAGGTGCCTATTTCCTTGTAAAAACTCCCGGCGTCGACATTGACAATAGACCGAACCCCTGGACGGGATAACATAATGTCACGTCTTTTTTTCTGTATATGATAACATTTAGTTGAGAATAATCTTACTATACTGCTGATTACACCGGACAGCAAGATCATTGGAAACTTGCCCGTCAGCATGCAGCGAAGAAGAAACTTATCTTTTCGCCGCTGATGCAGTTCGTCTCGTATGAAGTACAGGTGCCTATTTCCTTTGTAAAACTCCCGGCGTCGACATTGACAATAGACCGAACCCCTGGACGGAACATAATGTCACGTCTTTTTTCTGTATATATGATATAACATTTATGTTGAGAATAATCTACTATACTGCTGATTACACCGGACAGCAGATCATTGGAAACTTGCCCGTCACGGTATCGGTGATATATAACATCAAATCGGCATAATCGACATCAGACCCCGCCAAACATTGACAATTGCAGCAGCATCCGCGTCATAAGCTTCCGGACACCAGTGAGGTAGGCATCATCAGCCATATGACGTAAGAGTTGAACACATCGGCGTAGGTAAGAGCTAGTGCCATGCATCGAAACAAACGATATGAGAAAACTACGACGGCGACGCCAATAAGGTGTTAATTAAAACAAGAGATATTACCAAGTATTGCCAAGATAGAAAATCCCATTTCTGTTCCTGCACAACATGATTAGCTGTACTAAAGTGTTTATTTATATAGAGTTGCGGACTCTACTTGATCCAAGGGAGAAAATAAACATATGCAGAGCGATGAAATCGAAACCTCGTTTTATTGCCATCGGCATCATTTCTTAGAGGCTTAAACATAGATTAATGGGCCTATGACATTAAAGATAATGGACATTAAGTTACTGTCTAGGATATGAATGTTTACTAAATATTACTCATGGGGAGTGTCGACTACGAACCGGCTGGAACATACACAAAGTTGGAGGGGGGATTACAAAGCAGAATCGTCCCTTTCTCCTAGGAATCATATGAACAAAGGTCTCAATCTCATGATCAGATCAACATAGTGATAATGGATTTTATACTCGGCTTTGTGCTTGCATTAAAGAATTAATTATAGTTAAATACAATTTTAAATATTTCACATAAATAATTTTATAATTACATTAAATAAATCTAATAAATGACAGAAAATGAAAACAAAATAAATACTTTTCCGACCCGTTTAAACAATTTGAATAAATTTTAAATAAAAATAATTAATTATTGTCACTCAATCGATAATAATCAAATTTATCATTTAAAAAATAAAAATTATGTATCAAGTGTGAATTGATATACACACTTCATTATGTATCATTTAATTTGAGATTGCATCTGATGAGTTGTAAGTCATCATGAAATATTTGAATTAATTTTAAGTTTTGGATAAACCATATTAAATATAATATGTGTGATATAATATTTTAGATAAACTATCAAATAATCTTTTTTGTTTTGGTTTGACCGATTTAGTCACCAATTTTAAAATTAAGGTAAATAATCCCTATATATTGGTTTGTTCAATTTAAGTCCCTTTACTGTTAACTTCCATTAATCCCTAACGGATATGTGACATTACAATTTAGAAATAATAAACAAATCATAAGTCACCACTACTAAGTGGCATGGAAATAAAAGTTTTGCATATATATATATATATATTACAAGAATCAATAGGATTAAAAACTACAAATTCCAATGCCCTTTTTTCTAAAACATAAAAACGAGGGAGAAACGACATAATAAGAAGAGGCAGAAGAAAAGAAGAATGGAAGCACTGACGTACCTATTATCGTGTCGACAATTAGATGGATTGTTACTGTTTGGACAGAAGATACCTAAGTATGAGATTGTTACTGTTGGACAGAAGATAACCTAAGTATGAGATTCTTTATAAAATAAGTATCATGGATTTATGATCCTTCTACAGCTAACTTTGAACCCCTTTGCATAAACCAAAACAACGTATGTTATATTTTTTGAAGTATACTTTTTATACGTAAAGCACAAAGTACCTACTATAATGAATGACACAGGTAAATTTTGTGACTCATGAACTATAAAATACAAAAATCAATCATATCAATTATATCATTAAGCTATCAATAAATAACTTACTGCATTTATTACAAATTTGTACACATTTAAAAAATATATTGTTTATACACATTTAAATATAGCACTAAAATATTATTAAATCCTACATTTTATACACATTTCAAACATATTTTTATACAACTAACCCTAAAATATTATTAATTCATACTATTTCTACACATTTAAATTTATTTTTATACACATTTAACATTTTATACAACTAATCCTAAAACATATTGTTTATACACTACTAAAACTATATAGTCTTTATACACATTAAATAATATATTGTTTTATACACACTATAGCAAAACATATATATAGCGAATTTTCAAAGAAACATCACTAATTTATACATATCGCGGCGTTTATATCCAAAACCTACTAAATGGTAACATTAACAGCTTTTTTCAACAAACACCGCTAAAGCCTCGTATTTTAGCGACGTTTATTTGAAAATGCGCTAAGATAAGTACTTTAGTGGTGTTTTTAAACAAACGCCGTAATAGGGAATATATATCGTCGCATTTTTAGACAAACGCCACAATAGGGTACATATATTGTGACATTTTTAGACAACCGCCACAAAAAATTGATACTTAGTGGCATTTTTTTACATAAACGCCACAATAGGTTTCATATAGTGATATTTTTGAACAAACGCCCTTACAGACCTTAGTGGCGTTTTTTTAGAAAACTCCGCAATAAGTTTCATATATAGTGGCGTTTTTAAACAAACGCTGCTACAACTTGTACTTAGTGGCTTTTTTTTAAAAAACAAAGCTATAAAATGATAACGTGGCGTTTGTGTCTACAAACACCGTAATATTTTATAATTTTAATCGTGCGAAACTGTTTCTCCTTTCCATTTGTTCCCATGATCCCCATTTTCTATTTCCCATCTCCGCCGGACCCAAATACCCACAAAACTACTGCTGCTCGTCGTTGCTCGAAGCCATCGAGGCCTCCAACGTCACGCCATCAACGCTCGACTCTCTGCCATCGTTCGTGCTCTTACTTACGTAAATCCCATCTTATTCTAAACCCTAATTCATTCTTTTGATTTGTTATTTTGTTTAATTTTTGAGTTTCCTTTTAAATTTGTATGATTTGCCCTGGTTTTATATCAGAAGTAGACGACTTCTACTCTCACTGCGATCCAGGCCAGTTCTTTGAAAAGATAATCATCATCGTTGTTTTATCTATCAGATTGCGATTGCTGCTTTGTTTACGATTCAAACATATTTTAAAATCTAGATTTATGAAATGTGTCGAAGTATGGAGTAATTTTGTAAACTCCACTTGTTTATGCCCTTCATATCATTACCTTTTGTTGAAATTATCTTAAATAATTACTTTAGTACTGATAGCAGAATAACAATCGAGCACATTTACTGGTGTATGTGGAATGCTTCTCACTGGGTAACAAACTAAAGTGTACAAGTTGCTGGTTTGGCTATTTCTTGTTTCACATGTTTTCTAATAGTAATGTTGCAATGGGTTTTGGGAGGTTTCACATTGTGGAGTAGTTTTATGATCTTTGCCTTAAGAAACTATGGGTTGACCATAACCTCGAGTGACAATTTATGGCACAATAGGGATAAATCGCTGATGTACCCTGTATTATAGTTCTTGCTATTGTTCAGAAAGCTCACGACTCCCTTGGTAGATTACTGGAAATGCAAGCTTTTGTTGAGACTAAAGTAAAAAGTTGTCAACTGGTTTGCTAAGAGAACCGAACTGCCAAGTTTGCTTAGACTTACTCATTTCCTTGTAGAAACTTGTTAATACTAGTGTTTTAATCCAAAATCTGGAGAATCTGAACAATCTTCAGAAGTTTGTCCGCATCAAGTACAATTTTAAACTGGAGTTAAGCAGCTTACTACATTATTTGGATCCTATATCTGTCGTTAACACAACCAGCTATCTTGTGATGTAGGGAAAAGGGATTAGTTGTTTGCTTTTACTTTCATATTCTTGTAGCTTTATGGGGTCTGTTGTCTCAGGCAAATGCAAAAACTGCTCGTTTTGAACAAATATGGAGGAGCAGAAGAGGTAAAAAAGAGTCAGTTGATGAAATGTGCCATTTCTACGATGTTGTTCGTGTTGATGTTGAGGAAAAGTCTAATAGCATATGATTTGAGTAAGTTTGTCTTAAAATTTATTTAACTTCTTGTAATTTAAAGAAATATTGTGAAACAGAGTAAGTTGCCTTGATTTTTACTGCAGAGAGAGATCCTTGGAGGATCAAAAGCTTTTGTCAAGTTATATGCCTTTAATTAAAGAGTTTATCCTTGAAGCTGTTGCCGAAATTGAATCTTATATGTGAGCATGTGTTGGAAAGGTTGTGGATTGTAATTTTTTATGATGAACCACTTTGCTGCACTATGTCTGGCCTTTCAGCTGCTATTGTTTTTGGCTTTAGAGTTCAGCACCGTTTGATCTTTCATATTCATATATGGTTTTTATGCAGTTGATTTCACTGGTTTTCCCTGCAATGCTGTTTCATTAGAGAATTAGTATTATTTGTGTCCTCTTTAGAACATCAGTGTGGCTGATATTTGGTTTATGTTCTTGAGACCATCTGATGTGTTATTTCCTTTTCTATTTAACATGCAGAACAATATGTATGACTACTACACTGTGAAGGATGACTCTGATATAGTGAGGATTATGGCTTAAAATCCATTACCACTGTGAGTATTACATTACATAGTCTGTTATTTCATCTCTCCTCCTTCTCTCTCACACACATTGAAAGTGATGCATGATCTTGTTGCAGGGTGCAGGTGGATGATGAGGATTTCTATGATGTGCCATATGAGTAGGAATATGATAGTGAAGATTCAAATGGTAACCTTTAGAGTCTAGTCTATGTGACCAAATTCTGGGGATGTTGGTATGACTTGTATATTCTTTTTGGTGTTTGCAGTTGAAGATAAACCAAGAAATGATTATCCTGATGAAACATCCGATGAGGAGGAAGAGGAGGAGGAAGAGGATGAAGATGAAGATGAAGAGAGTAAATCCTCTAGCAGCATCAAGTCTTCAGAAGTTGGATAAATATATATATGTTTTTTTTCTAGTTAACAATGTTGAACTAATTTACATTTCACTTTAATGTAAACTTTGATTTATTATTATGGATTTCAAGTTTGTTGTTATGGATTTCAAGTTTATAAGATAATGCTACAGGTTAAAATTTTAAATTTGGGTAATAAAATAGCAGAAAACAACATTTGAAAAATCAATTTTAATTAGCGGCGTTTGTATAATAAAATGCCACTAAATACATAATCAATACTTGCGTTTGTAAAAAAATGCCACTAAAGTTCAAGATCTTTTGTGGCGCTTATATAGAAAATGTCACTATATACGTAGTCAATATCAACGTTTTACATTTAAAAACGCCACTATATGTCATAACCTTTAGCGGCGTTTTAGGAACAAATGCCACTAAAGAAAAGATAAATAGCGGTGTTTAAAATGTCGCTAAAGATCATAACCTTTTAGTGGCGTTTGCTAAAAAGCACAACCTTTAACGGCGTTTCACATTCACAAATGCTGCAAGCTTTTGCGTCATTTGTTTTAGCGGCGTTTTTTATGGCGTTTCTTTTTGTGCCGTAAGGTTTTTTAGCGGTGCATAAAAACACAACTATATGACAAAAATATGTGTTATTGTAGTGTGCAACTAAACCCTAAACCATATTGTTTTTAATATTGCATACAATGTCAGCAATCATGATGTTTATACAAATTTAAAATATGTGTTGTTTATGCACTATTAAATTCTAATGTTTTTACACACATTTAAATTCGACTATATTTATACACTATTAAACCTATTGTTTTTTACACATTTTAAACATGTTGTTTATACAATATAAAGCCATACAATGTCATAAAACACATACCATGAATATTATATAATAAAAAATTATATTATAAAGGCATACAATCACATAACAATAAACCTAACAGATAAAGCATATTACATATACGATCACTCAATCCCAATGAACCATAAAAAAGCATATTCTATATACAAATAGACAAATAAACCCCTCACTGAATCAGTAATAAAGCTTTAAAAAAAACAAACAAACCCCCATAAATAAAGATTAAAAATACCCTAAAATACTTTGTCTTTATGAATACAAATTAAAAAAACCCTCAGAAAACTCCTCCATTTTGAATCGGATTAAAAAATTCCTTAAACACCTTCCATTTATCCCCAAAAATTACCTTAACAAATAAACACTAAAAATGATAAGAAAAAACCTAACAAATAAAAACCAAGAAATTACCATAAAACATCTCATTATCCCCTGATTTGCGAAGTCGTCATTTAAGTATTCTGGTATCACCTTCTTTTTTTCTTCTTCAGAGAACTCAAAAAACAAACCCTAGATTACTTTAGTAGATTAAGATGAACCCAAATCCTTTCTACCCATCTGATTTTCACCCAAGAACCCACATAGAGGAAAGATTTTTAATTCGAAACCCATATTCAACCCCGCAAAAACCCATAAAGAAAGAAATAAAAGGAAGGAAAACCCTTCATTTTTAAAGAGAAAATGAGCTTTTTGATTTGTATTTGTTCTGATTAAATGATTCAAATCATATTAAACCATCCTTCCTATAACACCCCAAATTCCGGACGAATAGTTTTGAGTTTACCCAAAAGGTATGTGGGCCCTAAGAATTTCGTGATTAAAGTCATTGATATAAGTTGAAATTAATTGGGTTGGAATTGGATACAATTAGCCATAAAAAGGGGTTTTTGAATAGTAGAAAGATGAAGGACCAAATGTGTAATTTTACAATTTTAAAAAGATGGCTTTTATATCCCATTCCATCTTCTTTTCTTCATTTTGTCCATCTCATTTCATTCTCCTTCATCTTCTCATAGTGTTATAGCTAAATGTTATGACATATAGTGGTGTTTGTAAATGTAAAATGATAATTTCACATTGATTGAATTTTATATTCAATCATATTAATTTATAACATGTGTATTAGTTAATTAAGATAGAAAATTTGAGAATTTCTCTATTCTCCTCCAGCAAAACCGTGAGCACCATAGCAAAAAGAGGTAAGAATTTTCAAGTTCATTTTTAAGCTTATTTGATTGATTTTTAGATTAAGTTATTAGATAGAGAATTAATCTACGTGAAATTCTCTATCATTTGGTATAAATATTTCATGGTGATCATGTCTATTTGAAGAGATTGGCATTTAGGATTTATGTAGGGTTTATGATTTTGAGGGTTTGATGAAGGATTATTATATTTTTGATGTTGGAGATTAATTCTAAAGTATATGTGATGATTAAAAATATGTATATAAGCCTAAATGATTTTTGACCTAATTAGGGTTTATGGAGAATTGTTGAATTTTGATGTAATTTGATGTTCTGATGATTAATTTAGCATGAAATTGAGGTAAGGAAGTTGATTTCAACCTTGAAATTGAATGGAAATCAAGTCATAATTTATAACTTGATGGGTATTTATAACCTGAGAGTTCTAAGTAAATAAAATAATTAATTCCTAAATAAAATAATCAAACTAAAAATCCTAGTAGAAGTTCTAAATAAATAAAATAACTTATTCCTAAAAATAATAATAAAATAGTCCCACTAGAAGTTCTAAATAATTAAAATAATTGATTCCTAAAATAATAAAATAATCAAACTAAAAATCCTAAATTTACAAAGTTTATCACAAAAGATAAAAATAAATTTTTAAATCTTGTAGTCCTGTTTGAATTCTACTTCATCTTTTGGATAACCTTGTCATAGGCAAATTACAAATTAAATATTCAAAATAATTCTTTCGTCTTCTAGAAATATTAATTGGACCGTCGCAATCTGTTGGTTTTTAGGCTAATTAATCTAATGAGACTCATGTTCAAAAAAAAAACAAATCAGTAATATTCAAAGCCACAAATAAGGAGTACCTAATAATAAAATTATGCATTATTAAACTCCCATCAATCCCTTACTTGCGCTCTGCAATTTAGAAGCATATGGAAAGAGAATATGCCGAGTCTGAGCCTTAAGGTCCCCTCTTCATTCCCTCTGTACAAAGGAAATGAACCTCGTGTATCATTTATGTCCTTTTACTGCACCCATTTTTCTTGTTTTTATAGGATGAACGGAGGCCCATAAGCTTCCCTTCAAAGATCCCAAGTAGTTGGATTTCAGTAGTTGTAGATTGCAACCTGGAACTTTATTTTCTTTTCAGACAAATTATGGAACTCGGAGCAACACTTTATATGCATATCAAAATTTGTGTGTATGTGAAAGAAAGATATTTTGAGACAGAACTATTTACCTGTCCAGTTCTTACATTAAACATCCCAAATTTAAGAGGTGCTGCATTTGTGGGGCTGCCTTACAGGGTGGATCAATTCTCTTCCTGTCATATCCACCAGCATCATTAAAGAATAAGAAAACAAAAGTCTAAGTTGATTTGTGAGGCTGGGAAATGTAAGAAATCCAGCTGGTTTTTTCAAGGAAGGAAGATTGGGATTGGTCAATGCTCACCTTTGCTAGGATGGTTAATGCTCACCTTTGCCAGGATGGACCATTCATGATCCAATCCAGTCCACACATTGTTCCATGAATTGTTCATCCTCTTTGCTGTTATCATTCATCATAAATTGAGGGTTGGTCCATTAAAAATAGAAACAAAACGATCTCCATTACATGTTGATGGAAATAAATTGGCTGTGACTTCGGTCATAGCCGATTCACTTTTTTTTAGTTTGGAAAGAGTTGGAAGCAATTTGTTTATGTTTACGAATAAATTCGTTTGAATTTTTGTTTATTGGTTCACGCTCATTTACATGATTCTCTTTTATTCTCTTTTATTTTTTTATTTTAAATATTGATGAAGATATGGACTAAATTGAACACTTACTAAACTTTGGAGTTCAAACTATGAAGTTTAAGAAACTTAAAGATTATTGGCATGATTTCTAAACATATAAATGAACATTTTCGTGAAAGCTAAACAATCATGTTTATGAATACTAAACAGACTAAAAACGAATATCTTCAAAAATAAATAAATGAATATGAATCCAATATTTTTTTTATTAAGCTAAGGTGATTATAAAGCATTATCTACACTAAATACTCTCAACCATTTAAAAATGAACACTCAAAATCACCCTGTTGCAGTCGCTGGTGCTCAACCCCGTGATCTCTAGGAACAACAATGATTCCTTTCATCACTGAGATAAATTGGTTCGTGCTCAAATATTAAAAATTTAAACGTACACATGCGAACATGAAAACATTCAAAAGTAAGTAAATTCATTTACACCATTACTATCTATCCGTAGGCTAACAGACTAAATGGATATGATCAACTGATAATAGATGAGGATATCTAAGGAAAGGCAGCCTAATATAAGGCTAATAAAAGACATTACCGAAAATGTTATTAATTTTTTAATATTTTCGGTAGAGTGATGCCTAAAATGTTATTTTTTTCTACTGGAAATGATAATATCGGAAATATTCATTTTAAGTAGTGAAATTAACATTTTCGGTAGAAAAAAATATTTTAGGTAGCACTCTACCAAAAATGTTAAAAAAATATTAACAATTCCGGTTTGGCCTTTTCTTAGCTTTATATTAGGATGTCGTACAACAGAACTACCGCAATAGAATTGACTTCGAAAAATAACGTCAACCTGTCAAAGTGCGTATCAAAAATTTGTAGCTTCACACGGAGTGTTAAGTGTTTTAGATGCTCTCTCAGGATCGGTCGGAGGTTTGAAAGAATGAAGATAAGTCATTTAATGCACCACCATTCAGATAAACCTTGGAAGAATGAAGATGCAGATAAGGTTGCAGAGACGAATGTCATATCGTCAGGCATTTTGGCTTAACGCATTAAACATTTGTATGTATCAAAACAGAAGCAAAATATACATAATTAGCATCACAATCGATATTTATTTGTTAAGACACAAAGTTTTAATATAATGAAAAACAAATATAAATTATCTGGCCCTGAAATCTGATCTTAGCTTTTTT